AATTACTTGGAAAGATTTTTCTTCTCTCTCTTTATTTTTTCACTGGTGATTTGTGTTTATGAAAAAAAAATAATTAAAAAATCCACTTTTTAGAGACATATTGACATACATGCAATAACGTCCGGGACGACCGGGCCTGTCCCAGAAAACAGATGTCTGTAAATAAGTTATTTGTTCTGATTAAATATGACAATTAAACTGTCCATATTCAATCAAAACACATAACTAATTTATTCTTACATTTAACCTTTTCCATTATATAAGCGTGTTTCGACGGCTTTTTGCCCCTCTCCCCTTTTGAGGCCTCAAACAGTGAAAAAATGCTGTATTTAGGCCGCAAACACTGTTTTCCGTTTGAGAAATGTTGTTAAGAAAAGTGACCACTTTTTTGGCGCCGTCCCCCATCCAAATATATCATCAGGGGGTTGACAGAAGGGGGATGTGCCCCCTTTTGTTTGGAAGGTTTGAAGGGGGCGGAGTCCCCCTCATCGCCAAGAAAATTTTGGACATGTGACAGGCTAAAAATGGCCTCAGGTCGATCTTAGGGTTACTAGTAACCGATGCTGAAAAGCCTTTTACTCTATCTCAATTCATTGAGAAGTTGTCGCACTTTGAAATCAGTTTTGATGGAAAAACCACTGCAAAATAGTGATTTTTGGCAATTTTGAGACGTCCCCCGTTGCCATGGTAAAAGGAAATTTACCATTGAGCATGCTGTTACATAGGCTATGGTGTAGTCAACATTTGTGCCAAGTTTCATTAGTATTGAAGCATTTTTCATAGTTTCATAGCAGTTTGAACTTGTTACAGGAGGCTTTTCAATGAAAACGGCCATTTTTTTGCAATATGCTCATGCAGTAAAAGGTTAAGCAACATATCTCATTTTATAAATGGAGTAGGAACAGATCTTCTTCAAGATAATGAGTAAAAAATCAATTTTTATATATCACTTGACTCTATTTTTGTATTTTATTGGACTGTTTTTCTCTTTCAAAGTGAGATACCTTCATATCTGATATTCACTACCAAAACTGGGACCAAATGAGGTACATTCGTACAGGGTCGTGAAAATCTTGTATATTGTGCATCTTATTTTGCCATGCCATTAAATTGCCATCTCCATTAAAATAAATGTAAGTAATGAAAACCATCATTTATTATAAGAATCTTACACCGACTGCCGGTACAGACCGGAATATCTAGCTCGAGGGTAACTGTTTACGGCAGTAACGAGGCTCTGCTGAGTTTCCGCTTAAAAGTTACCCGAGAGCTAGATATTTCCGTCTGTACCAATAGCCGGTGTTTGATTCTTTTTCTTGCATATTACATGTCAATTATTTTCGGAACAGAAATTATAAAAACTGATATTCTCATTACGCACTTTTTTTTATAGTAGCGTATGAACATACAACTTCATTCATAACGGAAAAATTGCGTCATTCTAAGAACGCAATTCATTCATAAAAGGCGCGCGTCAATGACGTCATTTAAAGCACGCGACTTGTCTTACATGGGGGGTGTAAGACAGAGTTTTCCAGCACTGGTGTAATCGGTAGATAATCCTGTCTGAGATGCAAGAAATTGTTATATATCACTAGGTTTAAAACAGTGGGATATGATATATATATATATATATATATATATATACATACAAACATCACAAAGGTCTCTTTCTTTTGATGTGTAAAGTGATTCTTAATTTCCCCAACTGAAATAATTTCTTAATAATTTACACAATCCACTATTGTCAGTGTAAAAAAAAATCCAAGAAAAAGCAAAAAAAAGTATAGTTTAACCCTAACACAAAAATGTACCAATCTAAATCACTTTTAAATCCTTGTTTTGTTAAATTTCAATAATGGATTTGTCCTGCTCTGAAATTTGGAATAGTCCATTTATAGTCTTAGGGATTTTAGTATCAAAATACAAAAATTGAGCTACAAATATCAATAATGGCATGGTCATGCAGGTTGTCAAATCACTTAAAAGTTATTTAATCATTAATACAAAAACACAAACATATTTGAGCCGTGTCATGACAAAACTAACATAATGAGTTTGCGACCAGCATGGATCCAGACCAGCCTGCGCATCCGCGCAGTCTGATCAGGATCCATGCTGTTCGCTATCAGTTTCTTTACTTGTTATAGGGTCTATAAGCGAACAGCATGGATCCTGATCAGACTGCGCGGATGCGGATCCATGCTGGTCGCAAACGCATTACCTTGGTTTTGTCATGACACGGCTCATTTATGTTCAGACAAAAACATACTGTTGGGTGCCCTAGATTCAACCCTTTCCTTTATTGAACACTAGTTCCAAATATGTCTAGAACTAAACTGTATTGCAAGGAACCCGGAGGATATTTTTTTTCCACAAAGTTATACATTTTTGTGTATCTGCAAATTGCTATGTGTAAAACAAGGCAGATAAAGAGTATGTAACAATACTTTGTGATGAAGTTAAAGGTGTCAAATCATGGTCACCCGTTGATATAAATACATCTTGTATGAAATAAATTAATAAATAGATAAATAAAAAAACAAATCTGCCAACTTAAGATAAAATCTCAAAATAAGATGACACAACAAGAAAAAAAAAGTAAAAGAATTTCATGTAAACATGATAGAATTTCAAGCAAACATGATAAAATTTCATGTAAACATGGAAGAATTTCAGGTAAATGTGGTTTATCACGGTTCACATGTCATAAAATTCAAACTAAAGCAGCACAAGCTATAAATAGACTACTGGTGGCATAATAACCATAGACTGTCATTTATAAAATGATGGTACTATTGTTATACATATATCATTTTGATTAGAACACGTGTGCTGAGGCAGCATTAAAGCAACATGCCTCCAGACAAAAAATGCCCCCAGCCAAAAAATGCCTGGAGACAAATAAAGCCAAACTTCAAAAAATTAAACTTAGCCTTAAACCTGCTAAATTTACTTAAATGTACTCGCCCATTTCCATTTTCAAAACTGTTCAATATCAATTATGGGCATATCAAGAAATAAATTTAGGTCAGACAAGAGTGTAGAGCCTGGTCAGACTGCATGGATGTCCAGGCTGACTTGGTTTTACACACTGGTGGCAAAGGCAAATTCGTTTTGGTTCAAGCTCCATGGTTAAGGGTTTAAAGAAATATATCTACACAGTTTTAGAAATAGAAGACATTGAAACCTTAAAATAGCATCCTCACGTTAAAGAATCAAAAGTGGCAGAACTCAACTCCAAAAGGTGATGCGCAAATTGTTTGCTCTCAAGAACTTAAGACGCTTGGCAACCCTATTTTCCTTACTTCTCTATGTATCTAACTGAAAAACATATATCTTAATAAAATACAATCAAAAATAAAGAAAAAAACTTTCAACATGAAAGCCATCTCATAATAAAAGTAAACAAGAGGGCCATGATGGCCCTGAGGTCGCTCACCTGTATATAGCCCCCCCCCCCCCAAACCCATAAGAAGATGTTTCATGCTAAACATCTAAGCTCTAGCTCATTGGGCTTTTAAAATGAAGATTTTTTAAAGTTTTTACTATACACATATAGTTAAAAACAATGACACCCCTGGGGCGGGGCCAGTTTTGACCCCAGGGCTTTTATTTGAACAAACTTTGTAGACACTTACTAGAAGATGTTTCATGCTTAATATCTAAACTCTAGCTATTTGGGTTTTTTCAAAGAAGATTTTAAGTTTTTGCTATACACATATAAGGAAAATCAATGACCCCCGGGGCGGGGCCAATTTTGACCCCAGGGCTTTTATTTGAACAAACTTTGTAGACACTCACTAGAAGATGTTTCATGCTTAATATCTAAACTCTAGCTATTTGGGTTTTTTCAAAGAAGATTTTAAGTTTTTGCTATACACATATAAGGAAAATCAATGACCCCCGAGGCGGGGCCAATTTTGACCCCAGGGCTTTTATTTGAACAAACTTTGTAGACACTCACTAGGAGATGTTTCATGCTTAATATCTAAACTCTAGCTATTTGGGTTTTTTAAAAGAAGATTTTTTAAGCTTTTGCTATACACATATAAGGAAATCAATGACCCCCGGGGCGGGGCCAATTTTGACCCAAGGGCTTTTATTTGAACAATCTTGGTAGACACTCACTAGAAGATGTTTCATGCCAAATATCTAAGCTCTAGCTCTTAGGGTTTTTTAAAAGAAGATATTTAAAGTTTTTTCTTTCGGTTGCCATGGCAACCAGAGTTCTGCATGGAATTAAATTCTTTGAACAATTTTTAAAGGTGACCACCAAAGGAACATTCCTGTGAAGTTTGGATGAAATTGGCCTAGTGGTTTATGAGGAGATGCCATTTAAAGTAAAAGTTTACGGACGACGGACGAAAAGCGATCACAAAAGCTCACCCTGTCACTTTGTGACAGGTGAGCTAACAAGAGCTGTCACAGGAGACAGCGAAGCTCGACTAATAAAATACTGGACGCAGTAAGGAGGACAAAACTATGAAAGAAAAATCAATTATGTATAATTATGTATTAAGTTATAGTAAAAAAATAACATTTGTTAACATAAATTCCAAGATCAAGGGGAATAATTATAGAAATAGTCATGCTAGAGTTATGGATCTTGCCACACAACATTTGTGTAATGATAAGAAATATATATTTGAAGTTTGAAGTAGATACCTTAAAAAGTAAAGAAGTTATTATATTTCTTAAAGAAAATCCTAAGTTCAAAGGGAGATAAATCTGTAAATATTGCTTCAAGAGTTATGAACATTGTCACATAAAATGTAATTAATGATAAGGAATAAGTATTTGAAGTTTGAGGTAGATACCTTTAAAAATAAAAAAGTTAAAATAAAAAATAACATTTTTCTAGTAAATAAATCTAAGTTTATGGGGAGATAATTCTTGCAATATTGGTGCTAGAGTTATGAACCTTGTCACATAAGATGTGGATGATGATCACGTAAATATATTTGAAGTATGAAGTTGATCCCTTTAGAATTGAAATAAATAAGTTACAGTAAAAAATAATATTTTTTATGGAAAATTCTAAGTTCAAAGGGAGATAAATCTGAAAATATTGGTGCTAGAGTTATGAACCTTGTCACATAAGATGGGGATGATGATAACGTAAATATATTTGAAGTATGAGGTCGATCCCTTAAGAAATAAAGAAGAAACAGTAAGAAATAGTATTTTTTGAGGAAAATTCTAAGTTCAAGGGGAGATAAATCTGAAAATATTGGTGCTAGAGTTATGAACCTTGTCACATAAGATGGGGATGATGATAAGGTACATATATTTGAAGTATGAGGTCGATCCCTTAAGAAATAAAGAAGTATCAGTAAAAAATAGTATTTTTTAAGGAAAATTCTAAGTTCAAGGGGAGATAAATCTGAAAATATTGGTGCTAGAGTTATGAACCTTGTCACATAAGATGTGGTTGATGATAAGGAACATATATTTGAAGTTTGAAGTTGATACCTTAAGAAATGACAAAGTTATAGTGAAAAATATTTTACTGCACCAAAACTTTAATCTAAAATCTGGACGCGGACGCGGACGCCGACGCCGACGCCGACGCCGGGGCGAGTAGGACAGCTCTCCATATACTTCGTATAGTCGAGCTAAAAAATGCCTTCTCAGTCCATATACAATCACAGCTTGTACAGTTCAGTGTTAAGTTATATCACCACTAATATTTCTTACATCACAGTCTGTCATCTTTTTTTTCTCTGCAGAGATTAGAAGTGAATGTCACAGATTAGTTATTCTTACAATTCACAGAATTTCCTTTTCATCTTTTACTCAAAACAGGATTGGAGCAGAAATCATGATCACAAAGCAGACAAATATGGTTTTTTTTCTCGCTGATTATCACAATTTTCATTCCTTATTGTGTATAAATCGGATTGAAAAGATGAATTAGACGTTTTAAAGTTCATTCCGTAAGGTGAAACGGTGAGATTTTAGCATTTAATCATTCAAGCGTCTTGTCCGGTATGTACCGGTATTTAGTGTGGTGCTCCAATCTTTTTTTAGTCTCACTCTTTTCAGGTGTATGTCATCGTTTAACTATTCTTACAGTTCACAGAATTTCTTTTTCATCTTGTTTGATCGCTTTGCGAATTATATCATTTATTATTCTTACATGTACATTACTACTATTTTATCTGATCGTTCTATAAACTTTTAGAAAAAGTAATAAACATTTAGATCTATTCCTCGAATTTGGTTAATGTCACAATTTAGTTATTCTTACAATCTTACAATACTCAGGATTTCGATTTATTCTTCTAAATTTTCTGGCATGTCCGACTCGGAACCTTTTGTCTCGTCCTCTCTTGCACCAGAACCACTTCTTGCTGACACATTATCTGAACAGCCCTGACCACTTCCTGTTTCAGTTGTATCAAGATTTCCTCTAGATGTTCCGCTAGACCCGGTAGAATCTCGTTTCCCTCTTACATTTCCAGTGGAATCCTGACATTCCGTTGAATTTTCTAAAGAATCTGGATTTCCCTTTCCCATAGAATCTGGATTTCCCTTTCCCACAGAATCTGGATTTCCCCTCGACGTTGCTGCAGATGAGGATTCAGAATTCACTCTTTCGTGTCCTTTTGTACCAGATGCCATCGAAGCCTGCTCAGCTAATGTGCGTGACCGTTCCGGTTGTGTATTGATCTGCTTGATGACTAGTTCCGGACCACCACCATAAATCTGGTACAGATATTGCCACATATCTTTCGACAACTGACCGTGATCAGAGTTTGGCCGAACAATCAGTTGACCATTTTTCATCACAGCTATTCTCTTGTTGTCAACCGGCCCTGGCGGATCTGTATATGTAAAACAGCAAACAAATTATTTGAAGTAGTTGATGAAATACAGCAAACACATTTGCGTTTTAAACAAGGCAGATACTGTCAAATGATATCTTTTCCGCTTATACTAGCAACTGGAAACCCCATATGCTACAGCATGCTTAGTTTGGTTTAAACATATTTATTTAAGCTTGATTGCGAAACAAGTTCTTGCAACTTATATTAATCACTTTTGAGTCCGCTTCCTGGAACCAACCAGTATTGGTGTCATATGAAGAAACATGGTCGTGACCTGAGTAGGGCTTGAATATAAGTTTTCTTGTTTGAGAGGCAGACACCTTAACAACTAGATAACCCATATTCTTCAATGCTTATTTCAAGCCCTTAAAAATCTTAACCAAGTTGGTTAACCTTATGTCATGCTAAAACACAAAGGCCTTGAACAATTAACAATTAGAAATATTTTTTTAAAGTTTTTGTATAAATTTATGTTGGTCTTAACCATGAACTTATGAGCAACATTGTAGATCATTTCACTCACGCCATTTTGTCAATACTGATCATTTTTGTTGTGCTACATGACCAAAGTACGAAACATTTAAACCCTTATAACTTAAATCACTCTAAGAATCACAATAAATATTGATTTTCAGTTTAGTTATGATTGCTGTGGGTTCCAATCTCGATTTATTTTTCTTTATAATCTTTTTTTTTAAATATTGTTTATACGTACTGTCCTCTTTCTCTCTTACAAAGTTTTCCCACTCCTTAAACCACGACATACTGATAGCATAAATCACGCTAGGATTATCTTCTTCCTTAAACCTTTCATTTAACTGAAAATATGCCAATAATATTGATTACACAATACTTTACACAAAACATATATGTCATTAATATGATTATTTGATTTTACACAATAATTATGCAAAATATGCCAATAATATGGTCACTTAATTTACACAAAAAATATGCCATTAATATGATTATTTGACTTTACACAATAATTATGCAAAATATGCCAATAATATGATAACTTTACTTTACACAACAATCATGCAAAAAATTGAAAATTGACAAAGCACATATGATTACAATAACTTTACACTCTTAAATTTTGGGAATACATTACAAAATATGATTAACACAAAATGCTAACTTTCTTTGACACAGCAAATATGCATTCAAACTTTACACAATAAGCTGAAAGTAGACTTAACACAATATGCTGAAAGTAGTGCCATCATTGATCAATTTTTTCAGATGAGTATAAATTATTGGTCAACAGAAAAATGTCTACAATTTATCAATATCTTTTATGAGGTTCGGTGACAGCTCAAGCTGAAAATCCGAAAATACTTTACATAATATCAAAACCAAGACAACACAATACAAAGTTGTGGGTCACTGGTGGTTACATGTACTTATTCTTCCAGAAAGCTGCAGAGATATTACCCCAAAACAAACAAACAAACAGTTCTTTATCTTATCTGTTTTTTATGAGTAGAGGAAGCAAAAAAATGTGACAAAATAAATACCTTTATAAACTCCTCCAGTTCAGTTTTCTGCCTGTTTCGTAAAGTCTCTAGTTCTTTATGACATGTTGTGCACGGGAACAAATGATTACACGAGGGACCTCCACCAAACCTGAATGATAGCATTTTCTACATGTTATATGACCATTTATAATAATGCAAATAAATATCTCAAATTTTGATTGGCTTAAGCACTTTGTATACAATGCTGTATATATCATGAAGAACTGAATCTCACACAAATAACAATTTATTTTTACATTGTGGGTGGTTAACTACCTATGTGCATGGAATTCACTACTGCGTGTTTTTATGGCATATTTCTCAATTCAAATGTTTTTACTTCAAAGAAATAATTGCAAGGTAAACTTTAAAGAACACAAGTGGTCAAAACCATCTCACCAGCTCAAGATAAGAGCTGCAGGGACTCAAGTTATTCAAAACTCGTTTAGTCACCTAATACATTCATGCATGGATAAAGAATTCTGCAGTTCTGGGTTCTGCAATTTTTACCCCTCAACTCTTTAATGCCACAAGGGACAAAACTTTAATACTTATGTAACAAAATCATAGATATATTTACCTTTGGTGCAGAAACTCCCACATTGCTTGTGTCAGTGGTTCTACCAGATCACCAATGTACTCAGTCTTACTTGGGGGAACACCTATAAAAAATATATAGATAAGTTTACCAGTCATTTTGTCAACAAAATATAACAAAACATTAATAAATTTTATTGGCATTATGTAGTACATACATATAATTATGGTCATGCAAACAATGGTTGGTAATGGTGGAAAACATAGACATGAAACAAACAAAAAATACCTGTAGTAATTTGATGATACACAGATCTTTGTTTGTTTGATTGGGATTTTACGTCACACTGACACAGTATAGGTCATACGGTGACGTTCAAGCTTTACAAGAGGAGAAAGACCTAAGGTGCCCTTCCGTGCATTATTTCAGGTACAAACGGGCACTTAAGCAGAACGGCCGACGTTCCGTAAGCTAGCTGGATAGCATCCAAAGTCCCACCCACAGCGATGAGGAGCAAATGGTTTGAAGTCAATAACCTTACCCACTCGGCCACTGATGCTCTGATATAAAGATCTACAATGTCATTAATGAGGAATGACATGTGTGGTCAATCTACATTGAATTTATTCAGGAATAACATGTCTCTAGCAATTTATGATGTGCCAGACACGGGCCTCAATCAATCTTCTTAGCAATTGAGGTGTTACACATGTATCTCTATCAAACTATAACTTTGAAACACTATATGGAGTCATTATTTTACAAGGGGCTGCCACTAGAAGCTACTTTATTTCATGTATACATACCACCATGTGGACACAGAAAATCCTGGTTTGTGATTGGTCCAGGTTCTGCAAATGTGTTGAATCTGTTAATCCACTGCTTTGATACAAAGAAATGCATCAAACTTGGCTGAAAATATTGAGTTTTTATTAGCTTGACTGAATATATTGAGTTTTTATTAACTTGGCTGAAAATATTGAGTTTTTATTAACTTGGCTGAAAATATTGAGTTTTTATCAACTTGGCTGAAAATATTGAGTTTTTATTACATAACTCTTGATACATTCTGCAATAAACATTATACTATGTCATAAACAATTATGGCACATCAAAAATTAAATCTGTACTGTATTCTATTGTCATGTGACATGAAGTGCATTGTTGGCTATTCATTCAGTACATAAACTGTATCCCCATTATAACGCTCATGTTTGGTTCCAAGGTCTAAACACAGTGTTATAAGGAGGTTCTGATTTATAATGCTTGTCGCGTAATTACTGGATTACGCCCCCCACACCCCATACATATGGTGCTAAGGATTTTTTACTTACTGTTCAATAAATATCAAAATTATTTCATTCTAAAAAAATTTAATAATGAAAACATATATTATCAAACAATACTACATTTAATAGAAACAAAAAATTTTTGAAAAAAAAAAAAACAACAAAAAACAAAACATAAATGTAAACAGTTGTAGTAAAAGCTTCCAGCTTTAGTTGTGTCCCTTTGTTATTCAAATGCCATTTATTTCCTGTCACAAAAGTTTGATAAATAAAGCAGGATTTCTAATTTGATTTTGGGCTTGTTTGGTTTCCTTAATTCAGAGGCGCGTTATAACGAGGCTGCAGTGTATTTTATAATAATGCCTAAAAAGATGATTTTTTTTTCAAGATTTAAAGATGGTCAAAGTCCATTTAAGATATTAAGGATGGTGAGGGTAAAATCTATTATATAATATCTTGGTAGCCTGGAGAACTGCATAAAAGATCATGTCTCAAAACTTTGAAAACAGCTTTTAGGAACTTTTATGACACAAAATACAGGTAAGCCACCCTACATGAAATATCAACTTGTAAGTTTTTACCTCTCTTTTATTCATCAATTCCATAGCTTCTTGTCTTACACTATTCATGTGGTCGTTCTGCTTCCTGCAACAATAAAGTCATTTATGACATGCCAAACATGAATACACCAATAAATCATTTTGCGACATTTCAGGCAAGAAAATGCTAATAAACTTGATGGGTTTTTCTCACAAAAACATATTTTCCCAAAACCATCTATGGTTCTGATCACTCCAGGACCTGTGAAGTTTGGTGAAAATCCCGCCAGCAGTTTGACCTGTGACAGCCAAACAGGATTTTTCTATTTTAAGCTCTGGCAGCCATTTTGTGCAGTGGAGCAGAACATGCTGGCGATTTGCACTCGAGGGATTGTACTGAACTCCTGTGGATTTTGGTGGAAATCCCACCAGTTCTTTGACCTGTAATAGCCGGACAGAATTTTTCTATTTTAAACCCTGGCAGCAATTTTGGGCAGCGAAGCAGAAAATGCCGTTGAAATGCACAACTAGGGAAATCCAACCAGCAGTTCTATCTGGAAAGTCGGACATGATTTTCTATTTATAGCACTGTTGGCCATTTTGTGCAACAAAGTGGAATGTGCTGGTAATATGCACAACTTGGGATAGTACTGATCACTCCTGTGAAGTTTGGCTGAATTATTAGATAATTCTGAAAATTATTGATGACAAAGTCATGAACCTTATCATTATTATATGATACTGTATAAGTGGTTAATTTTGTGACATGGAAATATTTACAAATATTAAAATTATTCGCTAATATTTGATCGCACAAAATTTATTTCTTTTAAGCTAAACTTTCTTCTACCATTTCAAAACAAGTTTTCATACAGCATCTTACATGAATTAGTTTGACTGTTCGGGTACTGAGATTAATTTTTCTCATTGCTTTTTTGTTTAAGTTTGATCTTAAAGCAGAATGCCTCCAGATTCATGCTAATTTTCATAAAAATTTTGAAAATGTATTCAAAAGTAAAATATTGTGAAAGAAAGTAATTTGCAAATTGCAAACAGCACTTACAATCCATGTAAATTACCAAAAAGGGGTCAAATATACATGAATATCTCTTACTGCGTTAGTAACGCAGTATAATTATATTGATTAATACTACAAAATCAGTCATAAATCTCACATAACATAATTAATAAATAATTAATATAACATTGAACCTTTTAATATTTTACTTTTCTTAAGATCTTAATACACTTTTCTTAAGAATGTGAATTTTTTTAAATATTTTGGCTCATCTGGAGGCGTGCAGCTTTAACAAATCACAAATGGTTTAATGAAACAATTGAGCCGTGTCATGACAAAAACCAACATAGTGGGTTTGCTACCAGCATGGATCCAGACCAGCCTGCGCATCCGCGCAGTCTGATCAGGATCCATGCTGTTCGCTTACAAACCTTATAGCAAGTAGAGAAACTGATAGCAAACAGCATGGATCCTGATCAGACTGCGCGGATGTGCAGGCTGGTCTGGATCCATGCTGGTCGCAAAACCACTATGTTGGTTTTGTCATGACATGGCTCAATTTATATGCTTATAACACAAAAGGTTATTGATATAACAAAAGTTTGTTTCAAAATATGACAAAGAAATGTGTGATCAGGTCCTTTATCAAACATACAATGTATATTTCAAACAATTATATAAATAATAAAGATATTAAACAACTGAATAGAACAATTACAATTAGGGCATATTCTTAACATGTATCTGCTCAATTAATGATACACAAAAAATGTATTAAATTGGAGAAATCATATATTGGCAAATATTTTCAAATGCAAAAAGTTAACTTTTTGGCATTCGCAAAGTTTTGTGACCCATAAATATCCACTTATACAGTAAGGGTTTTTATGAAACTTAAAGTTTAAAGTAAATCCTTTGAAAAATAAGGAGATAAATCTGAAAATATTGCTACTAGTTATAATTTGTCACATAAGGTGATTAAGTACATATATTTGAAGGTTGAAATAAAATGTATTTCATTGCAGATAAACTTCAATCTGAACGTCCATGCCTACGCAGGGGTGAATAGGACAGCTCTTCGTATAGTCAAGCTAAAATAGTAGATTTAAATAAATTACCTATAAAAGAGGACATATGCCTCACAGTTGATGACCTGGTTTACGTCCACTTCTGTCACATATTGATCATCAAACTCATACCAATGTTCTGTAAGCACATTCTGACAATATGCTGTGTAATGACCACCTAAAGTCACACATAAAATTGTTTATATATATCGTTTTTAGGATCAAGGTCAATATTTGGATCAACTGTAAAACCTTATGCCTATATTTTGCAAAAATATATAAATTTATTCTAAAATTACATGAACATGCTATTTCAAGTCTTGTTTTATCAAGTTAATATTAAATATTCAATCTATGACGATAAACAATAGGGAATATTTGAGTTTGAAAATTTGATCCTGATCCTTAAATCTTTGTGAACATGGAACCAGCAATTTAAGCTTTGTGAACAAGGAACCAGCAATTTAAGCTTTGTGAACAAGGAACCAGCAATTTAAGCTCTGTGAACACGGAACCAGCAATGTAAGCTTTGTGAACAAGGAACCAGCAATTTAAGCTTTGTGAACACGGAACCAGCAATTTAAGCTCCGTGAACAAGGAACCAGCAATTTTTGCTTTGTGAACATGGAACCAGCAATTTAATTTTTGTAAACATGGAACCAGCAATTTAAGGATAAACACTAACCTCCGGCTGTTCCATGGTGACAGATCACTGCTACAAGATCATACACTGTTACGTTGCTTACATGATCTAAATAACAAATAATAAACCAATAAATTAAAAGATTGGGAGGGAGAACGACACATCAAAACACCAGGTTGGTTTATAAATTTATTATAACTACCGGTTTCGGGTATTACATACCCTTCTTCAGGTTATCAATTTCAACTTTACAAATTATAAAGCTAAGGTATAAAAAAAGATGCTACACTTTTGTCAGATGTTACTTAATAAAGAAAATTTGTTACTAAATATAGTAACATTTAGGACATTAGCCAAAACTAATTGGCAGTGTTCCAGAATTGTTGATTATTGCAATTACACTTGTTATTAATGGGAAAAATATTGCAAATAGAACAAACGTTTATAATCTGTTCAATTTCATTTTTAAATTGTCCAGTTTCATCTTCATTGTAACTGGGTTGTGTTGTACGTTAGTTTTAAAGGTTCATATATAGGTGAGATCGGTTCCTGTATGTTAAATAGGAAGGTGTTCTGTTCCATTCATATAACAATACACAGCAGAATAACACACACAAGTTATGGGCCGGACATGATGTTGCTGCAAGGACATGCTGTGACCTTGACCTTCAAGGTAGCGACCCAAATGTTGCTCGCGACACGTCGTCTCAATATGGTGATCATTTCTGTGAAATCGTTTTAAAATCCGACTTCAAATAAAAAAGTTATTGGACGGACAAGAATTCGGGACGGACGACCCGACGAACAAGTAATATAGCTGATAAGGCTCAATATCAATATACATGATAAAAAAATAATGACTGGCAAATTCAGTCATTCAAGCAAAACAGTTATCTAATGAGTGTTTCTAAGATTCAGCACCAGAACTAGCCTTTTGCAAACTTTTCCATGTCAATTGGATGAAATCACAAAGGTGTAGGAAATACATTAGAAATACTACCTCCATTATAATTATCTCACACAAAAAATATACATGTAATTAAGTCTACAAAATCAGTTTCCAGAGTCCAAAATGATAATATATCTACTCTGCTAATTTGGGCAGAATGTAGTAATAAATACAGTCTAACTTGCCCATGCGACCACGTGTATTAAGCGACTTTTGTCTTAAACGACCACTTTAAATTCCCCTCGATCATTTTCTCTCTATATCTTTAATGTATTAAGCGACTTTTGCTCGACGCGACCAGCGACCGCTAATTAGTCACCTAATTGACATCAATCTTTTCATTAAACGACCACTTTTACCTGTCAAGTAATTGTGTTTTTAGAGAACGCCACCTCGTTATGTCACAAGTGTCAGCAATCAAAACACAACTTACAATAAACGTGTGAAAAACTCTATTTCCCATACCATTTTAGCGTATGCAAATGAAGTTAAGTATACGCGTGACGTGTATTATCCAATAATATCGGATAAACAATGCAACGCTCCGCCCATACTGAGATGGTGTATACGCTTGCTTGTTGACATTTAGACTGCATTGAATTGACCTTGAACTTGATCAGCCATTAAATTAATCGTAACAAATAGATGTAGTTTGTTTATTTCAAATGAAAAAATGCACAACAGAAAACATCTTCACTAACAGGGTTTTCGTGTTGGAGACAAGGAAAAACAACGGAGAAGTTAAAAAATTCTTGAAAAAATGTCAAACATGTACGTAATGGATCAAAACTGTTTTGTCAATAATTATCAGAACGTTATTTTTACATTTGCATCCGTTTAGATTATCGTGGCGTAGTTATTATTCAACATTTATATAAAAATGAAGTTGAAAAACAATCCCATCGAATAAAAAAGATGTCATTTATAAATTTTGACTTTTATATCATGCTGACTGTCTTAAGAGACCGTTTCATTAAGCGACCGTTTTTGGTGTTTCCCTTGCCCGGTCGCTTAATACACGTTTGACTATATTTAGAGAAGATTACCTTTATGAAGGTATGGTTTCATGTCTAGATTAGTCAGGGGGAAGGACACATAAGTGCCGATCTTGGATGAGTAGAACTCATGTCTGAATCTCTTGAGGTGTATGCTTAATATCTGAAACAAAATAGTTGCCATATTAATGCTGCCATTAGCTACATTCTTATCAAGGTTCATTTTTTAAAACAATAATTGAGCTGCGTCACGACAAAACCAACATAGTGGGTGTGCGACCAGCATGGATCCAGACCAGCCTGCGCATCCGCACAGTATGATCAGGATCCATGCTGTTCGCTTACCAACTCTATTACAAGTGGAGAAACTGACAGCTAACAGCATGAATGCTGATCAGACTGCGCGGATGCGCAGGCTGGTCTGGATCCATGCTGGTCGCAAACCCACTATGTTGGTTTTGTCATGATGCTACTCATATAGTAACTAAGTTACAAGTAAACTGTGTTTGCTTGAACTCAGATCATTTGAATACCTCTTTGCGCTCGAACTCATCGCCCAGTCCTGGCAAAATTCCTTTATAATATATTGAGTTCTACTTCAGATCGCTCGAACACCTATCGCTCAAACTCTCAAACCTGATCTCTAGTCCCTTCCGCAGACATTAAGTTGTCACATTAATGTAGCCATTAGCTACATTGTTAAGTTAAGGTTCATTTCTTGAACAAAATATTAACTAAGGTTTTTATTTGATGCAATAGCTTGACTTGATTTATAAGTAAAGAGTGTTACTATAAATCAGTAAATGATAATTCATAACCAATTATTGTCATAATACCAATATCACAGAGATGAATCAATCGAATGTCCTGAATCATAAATCCATATAAAACCAGTTAAAAACTAGAACTGCCACTATCATGGCGTGAATACCCCCGCATACCACTTTGTCAGAATCAACAGTGGCCATTTAGAGCTCAAGGACAACCTCCCTGCCAAATCTGAGGTTACTAAGCCAGTGCATTGCATTATGTATTCTACATGCTTCAAATGTGAAAATGTCAAAATCAATACATTGCGGACAGGACATTCTTAAGCAATTGAGAAGAAAAGCTTTTTTTTTGTCAAGGTCCCTGTGACCTTGACCTTTGACCCAGTGACCTCAAAATCAATAGGGGTCACCTTATAGTCATGATCAACATCCATGCCAAATATGAAGACTGTGGGTCAAAGGAATCTTAAATTAATGCGTGGACAAACTTTTTGAAGTCAAAGTCCCTATGACCTTGACCTTTGATCCAGTGACCTCAAAATCAAAAGGGGTCATCTACTAATCATGACTAACCTCCATTCCAAATATGAAGACTGTGGGTCATAGGAATCTTAAGTTATTGGGCAGACAAGCTTTTTGAAGTCAAGGCCCCTGTGACCTTGACCTTTGACCTGGTGACCTCAAAATCAATAGGGGTCATCTACTATTCATGACTAAGCTCCATGCCAAATATGAAGACTGTGGGTCAAAGGAATCTTAAGTTATAGGGCGGACAAGCTTTTTGACTTCAAGGCCCCTGTGACCTTGACCTTTGACCTGGTGACCTCAAAGTCAATAGGGGTCATCTACTAATCATGACTAAGCTCCATGCCAAATATGAAGACTGTGGGTCAAAGGAATCTTAAGTTATTGGGCAGACAAGCTTTTTGAAGTCAAGGCCCCTGTGACCTTGACCTTTGACCTGGTGACCTCAAAGCCATTAGGGGTCATCTACTAATCATGACTAACCTCCATGCCAAATATGAAGACTGTGGGTCAAAGGAATCTTAAGTTATTGGGCGGACAAGCTTTTTGAAGTCAAGGCCCCTGTGACCTTGACCTTTGACCTGGTGACCTCAAAATCAATAGGGGTCATCTACTATTCATGACTAACCTCCATGCCAAATATGAAGACTGTGGGTCAAAGGAATCTTAAGTTATAGGGCGGACAAGCTTTTTGACTTCAAGGCCCCTGTGACCTTGACCTTTGACCTGGTGACCTCAAAGTCAATAGGGGTCATCTACTAATCATGACTAAGCTCCATGCCAAATATGAAGACTGTGGGTCAAAGGAATCTTAAGTTATTGGGCAGACAAGCTTTTTGAAGTCAAGGCCCCTGTGACCTTGACCTTTGACCTGGTGACCTCAAAGCCAATAGGGGTCATCTACTTATCATGACTAGCCTCCATGCCAAATATGAAGACTGTGGGTCAAAGGAATCTTAAGTTATTGGGCGGACAAGCTTTTTGAAGTCAAGGCCCCTGTGACATTGACCTTTGACCTAGTGACCTCAAAATCAATAGGGGTCATCTACTAATCATGACTAACCTCCATGCCAAATATGAAGACTAAGGGTCAAAGGAATCTTAAGTTATTGGGCGGACAAGAAAAAAACGACGGACGGCCAGACAGCCGGACGGACGGACAAGCTGATCCCAGTATATCCCCCTTACAACTTTGTTGTGCGGTGGTATAATAATAAGACAAAAAACTGATAAAAACATGTAAAATATCATATCTGTGTACATTTATTACTAAATTTATAGAACTTTTTGAATAAAATAATAAAATGCTTATAATACCCATAACACAGAGCTGAATCAATCAAATGTCCTGAATCATAAATCCATATAAAACTAGTTAAAAAAAACTAATAAAAAAATGTAAAATGTCATATTTTTGTAGATTTATTACTAAATTTATAGAAATTTTTGAATAAAACGATAAAATGCTCCCCAGAGGCTGGCATATGATTTTATTCAAGTTGTTCAATATATATTAAGTACTAAACATACACTAATTCTATATCCTATACTGTAACCCAATTTATATTCGCGAATACAAATTTTCGCGTTTTGCCGAGGTCGGACATATTCGCGAATATTAATTTCCGCGTTTTCTTGATTTCCGAAGAAAAAAAATTCGCGGATTGGAAAGTCCGATGGGACCTTAAGATCAATTAGCCGACTATTAATCTTCAATAATTGAGGTCATTATCGGTGTCTTAAATGGGATTAACAATACGCTAGCCTTATATTGTATTGGTAACTGAATTGTGATCACAATTCAGCAAAATATTTTCTTTATATATGTACATGTACGCATCGTTCGTCTTCATTTTATCTAGAAAAGTCTTTAAGAAATTCAATTTAAGCGTTTCATAAAAAAATAACTTCTCCAATCAGGGATCGAACCCACGCCGAGAAAATTATGTTATACGAGTCCGCAATCTAACCAACTGAGCTATACAGGCTGTCAAATTTGACGGGTAAAAATCGATACTAGTATGAAACCATCTTGTTTTTCACTGTTTGTAATTATGTACGCCCAATACCATGTTGTGATGCTCGATAGGTTTATGCCACCTTTGTCTTAACAATTCACTCAAACAATTATTTTATAGGATCCAAAAAACAATAGCCTTTTGTGATGCTTGATAGTTTTCCCACTTTTGTCAAACGATTTATTCAAACATTTATTTTAAAATAAGTGCAAGTACTTTGTATGCATATACTTAGTATAGAAGTGTAAATATGAAGAAACTTAAAACTGACACATGCTCAGTACCCTATACGGATAGGCCTATTAGTATTTCATAAACTGTATTAAAATGTGGATGTTTATTTTGATTGCTATATTGACATAGAGTTCTTTTGATATTTATAAAATAGTAGTAGTTTACTTAGTTTGTGTTTTTATTGCTTTATGGCAATATTCATAACAATTCATTACTTCCTAACAGGTGCCCGTAAAATTCGAATATAGCCGGTCAAGTAGCTTTACATAACCACGTCTAAAATAAAAATTTATCTCCAATTTATTCGCGAAATCGTGCGGACTTATTCGCGCAAACAAATATTCGCGCTTCGTGGCCATCCGCGAATAAAGCGAATATTAATTGGTCGCGAATATTCGTTGGGTTACAGTATATGTAACTCACCTCTGGTAGTTGTAAAACTTTGGAATACTTCAACCCATTTCTTAACCTATAAACAAACAAGAAGAGCACTGAAATTACATGATAAAGTGTTTTAAAACCAGTATTTGTAATGAAAAATTGAAAGTTGTGAAACAATATACCAGTATATTGCTGTAAATCACTGCCATGTTACCATGGCACAGAGCTCTCCTTCTGCAAGGTTTACTTTAAAGCAGCTTTCAGGTTTTATTTTCTTCTATAGAAACAATTCAGTGTTGTTTTAAACTAAGTATTTCAGTACCGATATCACAATATAACCTGTAGACTTATTATAACTTCAGAAATCGAAAACCAAAATGACTTTAAACATCCCGCTTTTATTTGACCTTATGACGAAACATTTGTGCAAAATGTTGTTAATGGTGGACTCAAAGTCGTCAAATTTTCTGCTTTTTTAAAAAAATCAATTTTGCAAACATGAAGAAATGTTTTAAACTACACAAATTCATGTAATCTCAAGTCAGTCAATAAATCAATAAAAAATGCCAATCATGGCAAATTACAAATAAAATTTGAAAGCTTAAAGCTGCACGCCTCCAGATGAGCCAAAATATTTCAAGAAAATCAATATTGAGGAAAAATGTACTACAATTTTAAGAAAGGGAAAAACATTCAAGATCCAAGTGATATTTTACATGTTATATGCAGTTTAAGACTGCTTTTGCAGTATTTTATCACCATATTTCTACTGCCTTACTAACCAAGGGCTGTCTATGCATATGTTGACCTCTTTTTTGGTAATTTTCATGGATTTTAATTGCCGCTTCCAATATGTAAATTGCTTTATTTGTTCATCTCACAATATTTTACTTTTAAATACATTTCCAAATTTTTCATGAAAATAATCATGAATCTGGTGGCGTGCTGCTTTAACAATGTGTACATACTTTTTACATTTTTCACAGCTATACATGTTATCTCCTTTAAGCTCGTCAGCTGAGAAGAATGCAGCCAGACAATCTTGTAAAGTGATTACAGGTCCCAAAAACCAGCTGAAAATATAAACCATTTACATAGAATTCTAAAATTTAACATAATCATTTACATCCAATCATAATTACCCATAAAAATGTATACAGAATTTTAAATTTTGTAAATTTACAAAGATCCTAAATTTTGCATTTATATTTACATAGAATTCTACGTGCAATCCGCATTTTCTTGCAGTATCAACTTTCTTTTAAACCTAATTGCCATGAAAAGTGACATATAATGTAAATTTGCCAAAAGATCAGAAATTATAAGAGGTGTCATTCATACATAGCAAAGCATATTAACATTACATTGATATAGGATGACAAATTATACCCCTAATTTCTTGTATATAATTCGCTTTCATACCTGTTTAAAAGATTTTAGTAAAATATATGTTCTGTTCATACAAAGGAGAGACCAAACTGGGACTTTAACCAAAGAAAGGTTGTTGAAAAGTGGCATTTATCTACAGGATGGTCTTTATACTGAGAATGTCTTTAACAAAAGTTTGTACATAGACGCACAATCTACCATAGATTCTAAATCCTGTAAACATTTACACAAAATCTCTAAACTGCTATAAACATTGACATAGAATCTCAAAATTGCTGTAAACATTTACATAGAATCTTAAAATTGCCATAAACATTTACACAGAATCTCAAATTGCCATAAACATTTAACAGAATCTCAAAATTGCCATAAACATTAACACAAGTTCTCAAATTGCCATAAACATTTTCACAGAATCTCAAATTGCCATTAACATTTACACAGAATCTCAAATTGCCATAAACTTTTTCACAGAACTCAAACTTGCCATTAACATTTACACAGAATCTCAAAATTGCCATAAACATTTACACAGACTCTCAGAATTGCCATAAATATCTAGACAGAATCTCAAAAATCATAAATGCCATAAACATATACACATAATCTCAAAATTGCCATCAACATTTACACAAAATCTCAAATTGCCATAAACATTTTCAAAGAATCTCAACATTGCAGTTTACCATAAACATTTACACAGAATCTCAAAATGGCCATAAACATTTACAAAGTATTACAAGTTTCTCATTCATGTTTACTTAAAAAGTGCCATAAACATTAACACAAAATATCAACATTTGTCTTACAATGGTCAAATAGCAGGTTAGATAACTGGTGAATTTTGTGACCTATGAGAAAAATTTGATGATTGGGAAGCAAATATAGATGTCACTATGTCCTTGACTTATTTCTATTTTATATAATTGCATATATCATGCTTAACTTGTGCAATTGACAGATGGGAGACAAATAGAAAGAAACAACAAACAGTATGATAATTTCAAGGAACCCATTCGAATCCAGAATTGTACACAGTTCTTGACTACATAAAAACTTGTTATATCACCTAAGTGATACAGTTCCACTTTTCGTCATCTCTCGTGTCGCAAATCAAGATAAGAATAAGATTTATAGAAATTTTCAAGTAAAAATTTGAAATATGGAAGTTTGAACAATGTTATACATAACATGGTTGTCCCATTTTATACAAAAGAAAAAACATACATGTCCATGATCAAGATCAACAATATACAGTAAACTCCACTTATAACAATATTCAGGGGAACATCTAAATTATACCTTCATATCCGAATATCGTTATATCAAAGAGGCAACCAATTTGAAAACAAGAGTAAGGACCATGGCAACAACATCGATTTATTATAATTAAAAGTGATAGTGAGTTTACAGTTCCCATATTTTTTTCAAGTGGGCAATCATGGAATGTTAAATGCAAAGGTTTATGCAGGGAAGTTGGCGCCAAATCTTACCAAAGTTCTATTATAGAATGTTATACACCGAATAAGATAAGTCCTTCAAAAAGATTCATGAGGAGAAGTTGTGACCTAATCTTAACAAAGAACTAATATTAAATGTTATGCACCAAATTGGTTACAGTCCCACACAAATACTGGTGATGGGACATTTTCATCAAATCTTTCCAAAGAGCTATAATAGAATGTTATTCACTTAATTGATACAGTCCCACACAAATACTGGTGATGGGACACTTTCACCAAATTTTACAGAAGAACTATAATAGAATGTTATGTACTTAATTGATACAGTCCCACACAAATACTGGTGATGGGGACACTTTCACCAAATTTTACAGAATAACTATAATAGAATGTTATGCACTTAATTAATACAGTCCCACACAAATACTGGTGATGGGACACTTTCACCAAAAATTACTGAAGAACTTTTATAGAATATTATGCGCTTAATTGGTTAAGGTATCACACAAAGATTCATTGGATACAGGGTCCAAGATTATAAAGAAATTCTCCAAGCTCACTCTCAGATCCCATGTATTTGATTGGTCAGAAACTGTCACAGAATGTACAATGACCAATGAAAAACCTGAGATCTGAGACAGAAATCAGAAAATAAGTTTTATAACCTTGAGGACAGTTGTCTCAAAATCTCACCTTCTCATCCACTCTACCATCCACTGTAACCATCCTTGATGTACCTCACTACAGGCTCCGCCTTTTTGTCCGGAGTTATGACTTGTTGAATGTAACATATGCAAATGATCCTTTGATGGAATTGGTAATGATAAATCTTGAAAAGTCTCCTTGGTTGTAGAAACCTTGATTATATAAAAAGATTAAAGGCCCATTAACCTTAATATACAATATATCTATTATTAAAACATCATAAAACATGTGTTTTGCGGTACTGACAAAAATTTTGAAGTGCAATGAATTATCCGCATAATTGAGTATCAAACTGACTCCCTAATAATTGAATGTACACTAAGAATTGCTCACAGTGACACACATCTTCGAATTAAACTTTGCATTTGGACTGAACATAATGTTATATCGAGCACCACAATGTACGTAAATCCAAATTTTTGTATATTTTCCATATTATAGATACTGAAGCGCGAAGGTTCTGTGATTTAAAATTAAGTTATATGCTGACTCATTTACTTTGTACCTTACAACAGCTCTATTATGGGACTCAAAGTCAGTGATCTATATAAACTAGCACAAAATGATATCTTCCATATCCAGTATATATCTGAACTACGCTACTACATTTCTGGTGCGCTAAGGTACCTTACGAAACCGGACAAACTAGTCAAATCTTTATGTCTAACTAACATTTCAGAGTGTAAACTAAAATGCGAGGGCGTATGATGGAAGGTGTCTTAAGACTATAATAGATAACATATATAGAAATCTGATTTATGCGAAAAACAACCGTATTCTAACCAGATTTTCAAACATGAGAAAACCGTGATTTAAATTGATAATAGCCTCGATAACGCCTTTCGTCCGATGTGAACAGGTCGGTGCAGACACCAGACGGAGCGTGCTCAACTTCTCAAACTCTATTGAGTATATCCTGAGCCTCTCGTATATATCACTAACTTTAGTTTGTAGCTTTCTCGGCCTGTAATCTCGACGTACTCAAATCTTTATGTCCTGTATAAGTAGGTATTCAATTTACAATAGTTATCACACGAAGACGTGGCTACGTTTATAGATTAGTACTAAACTCAGTGTCTGTGCTTATCAGTCAAGGTCATCTTGTTAAATCTATAGAGACCTATATAATCAGAGTTTCCGTGCTGTCAATAAAACTTTTGAGTATTCAGCTTTTGGCTGTACTATTCACTCCAACACAAACTTGTGTGTTATTGAGAACTGGAACTTCTTATATGATCACGAAGAGCAGCTTGGCTTCGAGCACATAAACCCCTCGCTGCAAAGACCCTATCCTCCCAACCACCTCACACCCTCCGCGTTATTGGAGAATAAAGTAAAGTAGTGCAATAAATCACAGTGATCATGAGTGATCACAAGATCGAAACTGTACTCACAGTTACTGAAAATAGAGCAATGTCAGTGTTTTCAGAGCATCATAACGATTGACGTTCTCTGGACCAATAGTTTTGATGTCACAAACTTTTGTCGATGTCAATTATTGGAATATCCAATGAATGACAGATGTGCTCTGATATGCGCTACCCTATGGAATATAAAAATTGTGTCTCTAAGATCTAGAGTCAGGTCACTGTGAGCGTGTAAAACAAACCCTTCATAGTTCGATGTGTGATTTGCTGCATCAATAACTTGAAGTTCTGGACTATTGACACGCGATACACCAGTTGGTATAGGATACTGTATCAAATAGCAAAGAAGGAGCAGCTTTGGTAACTGAAGAACTTCATAATGTCCCTGATGAATCAGAAGGGTCAAGAGCACTGTTTACTAAAAAATAAAAATTTCAGAGTTTCCTAACTAATAGCATGAAGGTCTTAGCTATGGACGTTGATATGACTCCATTGACAACATATTGCGTGTATGATAGCTTATATCAAGAGGACAGGCGGTATGACGTACACTCAATTCTGACAACCAAACAGTTGTGCTGTGGTACAAGTTAGTCTACAAGCGTCATCTCTTTACCTTCAAAAGTTTAGTTATAAGAGATTCAGCTTCTGCTCGAAATATACCTGCAAGTTGCTTTGCTCTAATCGACCGCCAAAAAAGAATGATTAACTCGCGAGTAGCTTAATTATTCATACTATCAGCTTGGATTGCTACCCATTAGGTGTCTAGTTGCGAGTCAGAGTATAAGCAGTTGACATTAATATTTTGCAAAATATTACTGAGACACTTGAGATATCATTGTGTTTTGACCTTTTGATCACTGGAAACTCGTTTGCCAATTCTCTGTAGGAATGCATTCTCAGGATTGCGCACTAACAGAAGTTATGCTGTTGAGAGTCTCAAGGGTCAAAGGTTACACTATGCTCCTTCCTTACAGTAGAGTGAAGTATATCTCCCGATGCTTAATCACGCGACATCAAAACTAATAACCTCATAGAAGTGTTCTAGACTCTTGAGCGCTATAATTAGAGTTTGCGTGTCACCAATTCTTATAGAGCGTGAAACATCAAATTCAGAACAGTCTGTAGTTTTAGTACCTTTGTCGCACTTATGCAGCGTCCTTTACGATGTAATCAATAAATGAGCTCCTATATTTTATGTGATAGATATTAGATCCTGGATATTTTTCCCGTTAATCTCCCCAGAGTACTCTACAGTATAGTCTATCGAGAAACTTACCAGCTTAACATTCGTCCTCAAACAATGAACTATAATCCTAATGAAACTTTCCTATGTTGTAAATAAGGAGACTTATGTGTATAGTTTAATACTCATAATCAATATACTCTCAAAATGCAGTTGTTATTTTATGAAACATTTAAATGGTTTCTCTCCCAAGTTTAGTTCATAGAGAATTCTTGATACTCACTATTTGTTATTATCGAAAGTGTGTGACAGTTTCAATCCATTTACTACCACCATTTCCTTATGATGACAGCTATGGTAAACTAAAACCCTTACTGATTAGAGCGTTATATATTTAATATTTCTCACCTTCAATATTAGAAATCTATTTAAAACCCTACCCTATTTATAGAGGAGAACTCGAACTTTTTCGCGACCAAATCGAGAAATATCGCTATGAGAAAAATATCTGTGATTGCTATTATTAGACAGATAGTCTTTGATAATAATTACTAAGATTATGTCGTTATCTCTATTGAGTTGAAATGCAATATATATAAAATAAAGTCTAATACATCATATTTAGTGTTATAACATTATATCAACTTATTTCTTATTACAATATTAAATTCATATCTTGTTAGAATCTCATGGAAATACCAAAAATCTATATTGATTCCTTATTTAATACCCCCTGCCTTAGAAGAGAAGAGCTAGAGAAGGAGTAACTATTATAATCTGAGTCTCCGTCTGATTGTGTCTCGTTCTACCCTCTTGCTCCTCCTACCTGTCCGTCAACATTTTATACTCTGTCAGGAGTAACAAATTCTCTCATAATTTTTAATGTACTTGGTCTGTTTCACGTTGAAAACTCATAAGTGTGAGCTACGAAGTGCTCAGTCGCCACAGGGATGGAATAACTCTACCCGTGCAATAATTTAAGTATTACTTAATCAATATGTGATCTCCGCAAATATATTATTTTGTTGCCAGAGCCAGATAAGAGAGCTACAAAGAAACCCTGAGATCAATACGAACATGTCTAACCCTTCATTCAGTGCAAGTACTCTATCTCGGTGCATGTGTGCCAGTGCTAAAAATATTAACCTAATCGCTTTCCATCATTTTTCATGTGTATTGCCAGCTTTGTTATATTTATTGAGCCAATAACTAGTAGTTTGTTTCTATCCTTCTGATATGAACTAAACATCAATAAACAGGTTCATAGGAGTTTCAGATAATGACATGATCGTGATGCTAGAATGCTCCTATTTATAGATAATTGCTAGCCATTTGAGAAAATAAATATATTGCTGATTCAGATACCCTCGAGGGAGGAAATAGATGTATGCCTCAAAGATAATATTCGCAATATTGAATTACGTTCTAGAAATGTTCCGCACATGAAAGTCTCAGTTGGGATCTGAGCCCAAAGCAGTAGGGAGACAAGTGATTATTAGTCGCCTATCCTGGCCACTTATCCAACAAGTATAAACATTTTCATGTTCTTATTTAAAAAAAAACCCCAAAAAATACAACAAATTCTATGGTGTAATAAATGAGTAATATATTACCTGTGCTAACAGATTGTTTATATTGGACTGGCTGTCGTCTGCTGTACAAGTTGGCTTGCTCTCGGTCGGAAGAATCTGACACTGTCCTCTTGCCACCACGCCGTCGCGATCGTAATGGTTCATTTTCTGCGTCAACAAAGTCGCCAGAATCACTTCTCTGATCGTCAGAACAAGTACTTGTATTGTCTCCGGCTCTCATCGACATATTTATACTGTCTTTCTTAACTTTCAGATAACCAGGTCTATTTATAGCATCAGAGGCATCCTCCGACTTACAAAAGGAATTCTTTGACCTATTTTGTCTTGTTGATAAATTCATTTTTGTGACAACATCGTTTAATATCACTATTTTCTATCACTAGAGTGGTTGCATATCACGTTCACTTCCTGATGCAGAATCACAAGTTTCATAGTCACCATCTGATTGGCTACTGCAGCTGCTGGTTTCCATTGACAACTGGTCGACCAATCACATGAAGTTTGGTGTTCTTCATGAATTTCAGTCTCCGCCTCCCGGTCATCTAGCTCCTCAATGATTGGTTGTTTACATTCTTCATGTAGCTGGTCCATGAAACATCTTAGAAACTCTTGAGTATCCTAGCATGTGAAAAAATGGCAAATTTCAATGTATTCTTTACTCTTATATATTAAACAGCATTGTATAATGTATTTGCTTTTTTTTCGAAGTAATACAGTATCTTTTTCATGTAAGATAAAGAAGGGAACAAATTGGGACCTAGCAATTATGTGTCTAATAACTGAGTTTATGCCGTATCCTAATTTGCTTTAAGTGAGTTCCACTATATGCTAAATCACAAAAGTAGGTAAAGATGGGTCAAATATATATCCTATGTAACTTTTTGTTAGCACCCTGAATGCAGTTACTATGAAAAACTCAATGTGCCTCTAATATATAAAGCCAGTTACAGCATGATAAACATAATTCTATATAATTATATGTTACTGAAAGATTAACATGTAGAATATTAAAGAATTAATTATTTATTTTATACTTATATGTCTCATATTGAGATAAACTGATGAAATAAAATGTGTATTTTCATTTTCAGTATTTTCACTCTAAAAAAATTATTTTTCACTGCAGTGAAACATATTTTCCATATTTTCACTAGTGTCTTGCCGTACTACTTTCTTCTAAATTCAGCCAATATACAAAATTTAAAGAAAAGTCCTTAAAATTGAAATGTCAAAAAAGAGAAAAATGTATATAATAATCAGAAAATTCAAGTTTGTTCTATAACTATAAATACAGGATTTATTTTCATCTTGTGGTATGAAAATTGACATATTTCACTGGTGGCTCCCGGCACTCATAAAATATTTATTTTCATACCACTCATATTGTATATGAGCCACGTCACGACAAAGACAAAACCAACATAATGCGTTTGAGACCAGCATGGATCCAGACCAGCCTGCGCATCCGCACAGTCTCGTCAGGATCCATGCTGTTTGCTATCAGTTTCTCTACTTGTAATAGGGTTTGTAAGCGAACAGCATGGATCCTGATCAAACTGCATGGATGCGCTGGCTGGTCTGGATCCATGCTGGTCGCAAAGTCATTACGTTGGTTTTGTCGTGACGCGTCTCATATTATTTAACTTACCTGTTGGGAATACCCTCTAAACATCGGATGTACCAACTTTATACCACTCACTATACCGCTTGGTACCAAGTAACTCGGTCTGTAAACATTGAGAGCATTTTACAGTCAATTACTTTAATTTGATTGGCCCCTCAAGTGCACTATTATTATGCACAGTGCTTTTCATTTCAAACCTTTAGAGAATAATATTTGAATATAACCTGTTGTGTCATATTTAAAATAACTAAAAATATTTTACAAAATGAAAGATTATGTAAAAACTTAATGGAAAAATTCCTCAAAAATATTTAAGATTCTCATGTAACAGACAATTTTTATGGCTTTATATCATAAATATGATGCTCAAATAAAGATTTATCAATATTGTAAGTTACGAAAAGCATTATTTATAAGATATTACTGAATTTAACATTTTATGTAAATAAAGGGAGGTAATTAAAAATTTATTTTCTATAAAGTCTTAGTCAAATTTTTCAATAAGAAATGAATGCATATAATTTAATGATTACATGATTATAATGTGCACAAATATCTGCAGTACATGTTTTACATATTTTATGTTTGAAAATTGTTTTATAAACATAATTATATACATATATAAAATTTCACATAAGTGTGGTATACAACCTCAATTATAACATACAGGATCTTTAAGTTACAATGTTATTCTAATGTTATTTACTCATTCATTTTTAGGAAACAAAGACCACCAACACATAGCATTCACATGTAAACAGTTATGAAAATAATTTAATTGATCATTATTAAACTTTTCTAATGGTCATCTTTTAAGTTTGCTTTAAAGGAACTCCAATGAGGTCAAAAAGTCTAAAACATAAAATTAGAAATTCTTACATAGATAAGTGGAGAACTTAAACCGGATGAAATCTGTAAATGATTATGAAGAAATAACCTAAAGAATTAATTTGAATACGGATTTTTGAGTGCAATTCTTAGCCCGAATATGAGCGAAAAGCATTGCTTTTCATTTTTTGTGTCACTTTGCACAATAAAAAGATTATTCAGGTAAATCTGTGTGTAAGAGAATGATCTAAAATTATAAACACAATTTTTTTATTTCATTGGTTCAAACCCACATCAAATGGTACACAAATCTTGAACAAACATTTTCAGTCCTGTCATGCACCCCCCACCCCCCACCCAAGAAAAAACCACAGAGGAGTCCCTTTAACTCTTTGCATGCTGGGAAAAATTTGTCATTTGCTTATAATGCTGTCTGCTTCATGTTTTAGGCAAGTAATATAAAATATCCATTCTAAATACCTTTTACGATGCCATATCTCGTGCATAAGTTTCATGTAGTTTTTACTGAGCGACATACTACGATCTGCATGAACGTATCCACCACAATCCAGGAAAAATCTCGTCAATGGTGGGCTAAAACAATAACACAGAAAATTTATCTCATAACATTATAATTATGTTTAACGATTTGAATGGGAGCCGCCCACACAGAGACAGCATTCCCGACCAATATGAACTGTTTTTAAAATATTAAATAATTATACCTTTCAACAAAAGAGATATATGAGCTGCGTCACGACAAAACCAACATAGTGCGTTTGCGACCAGCATGGATCCAGACCAGCCTGATCATCTGCGCAGCCTGAGCAGGATCCATGCTGTTCGCTATCAGTTTTTCTTCTTGTAATAGAGTTGGTTAGCGAACAGCATGGATCCTGATCAGACTGCGCGGATGCGCAGACTGGTCTGGATCCATGCAGGTCGCAAACGCACTATGTTGGTTTTGTCATGAAGCGGCTCATATGTATATCTAAAAATTTTATTTTTTAATTTTGTATAACATATCTTGTAGCGTAGGTATCATCATGACGTTAAGAATGTTTGATTACATTATATTCACAATTAAGGCTTTTCTAAAGGAAAAATGATCCCTTCAATTTTGGTTACATTTTCATACTGTATTTTGCAGTGAGTGTTAAATAAAAGGAAAGTTATATGTTTCCATTTTACCACCCCCCCACCCCACCCCCGATTAGCTCTCAACACTACCACCCCACCTCTATTTTGTAGAAGAACAAAATCCATAATGAAAGAGCAATCCAAAAATGTTAAAAAAAAATTTTTTTATTATTTAAAACATCACAAATAATGACAATCCAGTAATGTAAAATCATTAAAAAAATCCTGTATTATATATAATAGATTATAATAATGAATAATGATTTTATAACTGAATTGTGTCTTTTATAAGAAATATTTTAAAACACATTTTCATTGTTCTACATGTAATTAGTGACCCCTTTTGAAACAAGAGGGCCATGATGGATCATAGGCCTGGACAGCAGGCCGTGAAAAGGGGTCTGAAGTCAAGTATTTATAACTGGAATTTATAACACACCTTTTAAGAAAATTTTGGTTCACTGCAGTTTTAAGCAATAAGAATTTACAAAAAACAACTATTGACCACTCTGTAATTAGGACCAAATTGTTACTAGCACTGATTTTTAAAGGTATAGAATTTCTGATCTAAAATTTTAGGCAAAGTCATTTATTTTGCTCTTATAAAACTGGAAAGCTTTATTTCTAGCACCTGAGAGTTTTGGGCAATTACCATCTATATTTAACATCACTGATCAGAAACACTGCCATGCACTATATCTGTTACATCTCTTTATTAACTTTGTCGGGCAACATCAACATATTTCTCACTTCCAGAAGTTTTGAAAATAACAATCCTAAACGTATTTTTAAAAAATCCCAACAAAAACAGCTAGAGGTCTATCAGTAAAAAACCCTACCAGTTAGACAAGGCTTGTAAGGCAGCATTGAGGTAACAAGTGTTGCCAAGGTTCTGTAGACCGGTTAAACCTTTAGGTTTGCCGTGGTGCACCTCGTCATCACCATCAGACTCTGTGTCGTCACCACCGAAGGCAGAATGTTGCGGAGAGTTATCCGGTGTAAACTCACTATGCTGATCATCTTCTTCCATCTCCTTGCTTAATTTGTCCGGAATTCTACAAACATAATGATTAATGAGACACTATATACCAGACAAGGCACCTGAATGATTAAATGCTAAAATCTTGCCTTTTCACCCACCAAAATGCACTTCAAAACGCCTAATTTATCTGTTCACACCATTTATATACGATAATGAAAGAAAAATGCAAAAATCTTCGAAAAAAAGCGATATTTTTATATTATATATATTTGATTTGTTTTATACAGAATTTATTCTAGTTCAACTGTGTAGAAAGCTATAAGCTTATAGACACACTTTTGAATCTGTTCCTGGAACCAACAAGTACTGAGCAATGAGTATAAAGTTTCTTGCTCAAGGAAACAATGACTTGCCCCTTTAAAGGGTTTGAACCAATGCGGCTAGCGATCATTAGATTACTTGTCCGACACATTAACTACTCGACCATGCAGTTTCTCAAGATTTGATACAATAGAAAAGAGAACACTTACAACACAGGGGGATTGTTTCGATCGTGGAACACCTCGGATTGACAGCGGTAACACCAGATTCGTAGCGTTGCCAGGTTAATCGCTAAGCAATGAAAATCCAACTGAAATTGTTGTAAATATGTTATTTTTAATGACATTATGTTCTTTTTAATGACATTATGTCTTTTAATAATTACATTATGTTAATATACAAATGTATGACATTGTCTTATGCAAACATGTTTTTTTTTAAAATAAGTTGAAATAGATTATATACAGTTTATACGATGCTGTATTTCATTAAAGCTTCTAAGACCAATATTATACAGCAAGCAACAAATAAGGCTACATGCCTTCACAAGGCCCTAAATATTTCAAGAATATTTAACTTGCAAGAAAATGGACATTTAAAGTACTGACCTGAGCATGATGTGAGCTGTGGTCCTTTAACGATTCACCGCACCCCACGTATGTGCATCTGCCAACCAAACATAGCCAAAGGTTTGTGGCTCGCATCTCACACGTATCACATACCTCATGCTAATAAAATATATGAGCGGCGTCACGACAAAACCAACATAGTTGGTTTGCGACCAGCATGGATCCAGACCAGCCTGTGCCTCCGCACAGTCTGATCAGGATCCATGCTGTTCACTATCAGTTTGCTACTTGTAATAAGGTTTGTAAGCAAACAGCATTAATCATGACCAGACTGCGCGGACGCGCAGGCTGGTCTGGATCCATGCTGGTCGCAAACCCATTATGTTGGTTTTGTCATGACGCGGCTCATATGTATAATCAAAATTTATTAAACTGTAAAGCATATGGTTTTATAATAAGTTTTATTACCTGTTTTTAATAGACAGTGAAATTAAAATTTATTTTTAATAATATCAAAAAATAGTTTTCACTTTAGCTGGACAATATTTGAATGCCGATGAACAGAATTTATCATACATAAATCATAATGGAAATCTCTTCAGAAAAACACTTTGTCATATTTAAATATGCTTGATTTCGAGAAGCACACAAACATTTTCACATGTCATGATTAAACAAGAGGGCCATGATGGCCCTGAGGTCGCTCACCTGTTTATAGCCCCCCCCCCCCCCCCCCCCCCCCCCCCCCCCCCGGCCAATTTTTACCCAAGGGCTTTTATTTGTTTATTTGAACAGACTTGGTAGACACCCATAAGAAGATGTTTCATGCTAAACATGTAAGTTCTAGCTCATTGGGTTTTTTAAAAGAAGATTTTTTAAGGTCTTTACTTATAATACACATATAGTTAAAAACAATGACACCCCTCGGGCAGAGCCAGTTTTGACCCCCGGGCTTTTATTTGAACAAACTTTGTAGATATTTACTTAAAGATTGTATAATGCTTAATATCTAAACTCTAGCTATTTGTTTTTTTTCAAAGAAGTTTTTTAAGTTTTTGCTAAACACATATAAGGAAAATCAATGACACCTGGGGCGGGGCCAGTTTTGACCCCAGGGCTTTAATTTAAACATACTTGGTAGACACCCATTAGAACATGTTTCATGCTAAATATCTTAGCTCTAGCTCTTTGGGTTCTTTAAAAGAAGATTTTTTAAGTTTTTACTATATGCATATAGGGAAAATCAATGACCCCCTGGGGCGGGGCCAATTTTGACCCCAGGGCTTTTATTTGAACAAACTTGGTAGACATTCACTAGAAGATGTTTTCATGCCAAATATCTAAGCTCTAGCTCTTACGGTTCTTTAAAAGAAGATTTTTTAAATTTTTACTATATGCATATAGGGAAAATCAATGACCCCCCAGGGCGGGGCCAATTTTGACCCCAGGGCTTTTATTTGAACAACTTTGGTAGACACTCTCTAGAAGATGTTTCATGCCAAATATCTTAGCTCTAGCTCTTTGGGTTCTTTAAAAGAAGATTTTTTTAAGTTTTTACTATATGCATATAGGGAAAATCAATGACCCCCTTGGGCAGGCCAATTTTGACCCCAGGGCTTTTATTTGAACAAACTTGGTAGACATTCACTATAAGATGTTTCATGCCAAATATCTAAGCTCTAGCTCTTACAGTTCTTTAAAAGAAGATTTTTTAAGTTTTTACTATATGCATATAGGGAAAATCAATGACCCCCGGGGCGGGGCCAATTTTGACCCCAGGGCTTTAATTTGAACAAATTTGGTAGACACTCATTAGAAGATGTTTCATGCTAAATATCTTAGCTCTAGCTCTTTGGGTTCTTTAAAAGAAGATTTTTTAAGTTTTTACTATATGCATATAGGGAAATCAATGACCCCTGGGGCGGGGCCAATTTTGACCCCAGGGCTTTTATTTGAACAAACTTGGTAGACATTCACTAGAAGAAGTTTCATGCCAAATATCTAAGCTCTAGCTCTTACAGTTCTTTAAAAGAAGATTTTTTAAGTTTTTACTATATGCATATAGGGAAAATCAATGACCCCCTGGGGCGGGCCAATTTGACCCCAGGGCTTTAATTTGAACAACTTGGTAGACACTCATTAGAAGATGTTTCATGCCAAATATCTAAGCTCTAGCTCTTAGGGTTGTTTAAAAGAAGATATTTAAAGATTTTTCTTTCGGTTGCCATGGCAACCAGAGTTCTGCATGGAATTAAATTCTTTGAACAATTTTTAAAGGTGACCACCAAAGGAACATTCCTGTGAAGTTTGGATGAAATTGGCTCAGTGGTTTATGAGGAGATGTCATTTAAAGCAAAAGTTTACGGACGGACGACGGACGGACGGACGGACGGACGCCGGACGAAAAGCGATCACAAAAGCTCACCCTGTCACTTTGTGACAGGTGAGCTAAAAAGAAGTAACACAGCAAAAAAATCAGTCAAAGTGACTAAAAACCACTATAAACACATAAAATAAAAAAATTGTTTGTTTGCATGTAAAATCAAATTGTATTTCACTATTGTTGAAAAATTTTAAATCAATATAAGAAAGCTGAATATTGACGATATATCAAATTCAATAGCTTGCACATCTGAATATGTGTAAAAAAACTGTCACCATATATAGTGTATGCAAACACTGTTTGAACAAATTTTCTCTCCTGTTCTAAGAAGTAGTGAAAGATTGTCAAAAGAAGAGGGGCTTAAAAAGGGCGTGGCCCTTCCATCAGAGCCCAGAATCATTCTACAGGTATCATCCTACAGGTATAGTAAACAATTTTTTTGGGTTCTTGTACCCCAGCTTCAAGGTATCAAGTGCATGTTGTACTTTTATAAAAAGGTGTAAATATTTTCATATCTTCACAAGAAGAATTTTAAAAAATATACGTGTATGTAATACATTTTGCGTTCAATGTTTACCTTTTGAGCTTTTCGGATGATGCTCCATGAAACAGCCCCGAGACTGGTCACGTGTGGACAAGTTGATGTTTTCTTATTCTGTGACATAATCACTATCCCAGTCCAGTAGTTCCTTAGACAACTCTATCTATAAAATAAAAATTATAACATTCTTTAACAATAGAGAAAAAACTGAATCCCTACAGAACGCCAGAATTGACAAAATTGAAAACGTTGCAGATTTACAATGTAGTTTGATTGAGCCTGTTCATGGAGTCCAGGACGGTACTGGAAAGTGCAAGTTGCTGTCCATGCCCCCAAAGCACCGGCTTAAGCAGATTTTACATTTAACAGGAACTGGTAAAATTTTGAAACATCTGGGCATGAATTAAACCTTCTTCATAAACCTGAAACTTTTGCTTCAATGTTTTCCAAGCGACTCATAAAACTGACTGGTGTATAAGTGAATGATCCGAAATTACCAATATACCACAACCAGATAAAATTAAGCCAGTTTAGCTGAATTATCAACAGACAATGTTTTTGCTATGTCTGCATTAAATTTCAATGGAGTATATTTTTCCGTTCAAAAATTTGGAACCAATTTGTAAAAAACTTGATTTAAGCAGTATGGCCATTAGGCATATAAAAATATAGGATATAAAAATTTTGCCCAATACTAGGTTGAGGGGGGCCTGGGGGGGGGGGGGGGGGGGACAGTGTTTCTGCCAGACTAGATTTTTTGGGGTCCTTTGTGACCCTCTGTATAAAAATATGGGGGTCATTTGAAATTTATGAATGGTCAATTTGAAAAAAATTTAAAAACTACAAAAGTAAATCTCAGAACTGTTTAATTTCACATGTAAACTTCAATTTCTCACTTCTATCTTCTATCTAAAGAAAGAACCAATTATTTGCATTAAAACATTTAATAGATCTGTCAGACATCTTTTAACAAATCTGATCACAAATCGCTTGTTTACCCAGACCGAAGATGTCTTAATCCTGGATACCAATTTATACATACACGCAGTTACAGGAAATAAATAAATTTCAGATACCTAATTTATTTGCGGATTTAAAACGGATGGTGCTAATAATAGAAATAACTTTATGAAAAGACATCCAATTATTTAATTATGACTGGTGTCACAGAAAACGTGCTTTGCAAATTTCAAATATTTTATTTATTATGCTATTCACGAATTCGAAAACTTAGCTAAACGCCGTTTTCTGGTACATTCTCACATACATACACAGCTCTGGGGTATTCACGTAATGAAGTGTAATAACGAACTTAGGGTTTTTGGTCTTTTTTTTTTAATTAAAAGAGTAATAAAACAGTTATTTCTTTGTAAGAAAATAATTGAATATAATTGTATGAATAATTCCATGCAAAACATTAAGTAAATACACAAGTTTACGCAGAAAATATGCTTTTCTCTCATCAATTTGTGACTCTTATTTGGAAAAATTGCACTTGCACAACAAATATCAGACATACATACAGTTCAATTAGTGCATTTGTTAAAAAAATTCATTATCTAAAAGTTCAAAAACTTTAAATTACTTCTATAAACAATAAACAACCGCTCAAAGATTAGAGCATCTGAACATGTCAACCATGGCTGTCTTGCTCGACTGGACGCTTACCCATCGATTTGTGAAATCCGATTCACCCTGTGAGATCATTAAAATATAGGTGCTCACACCACTAAATGTTCGCATGGTTATTTTCAGTATGATCTGATCAATATTATTTGTTTCAAAGTCGTAAGAAAATTCTTACAGCATAATGAACATTTTATTGGCTTAATTGTAAGTGTGTTTGATAAATTAAATCATTTATATTGAATATTTTAAAGTAACTAGGTCATCAGCTGATTGTAGGGTATTTAGCACATTTACAACTGTGCAATTACGCATTTTGATTGGATAGAATTGTCAAATCGAGTGTCTAATAATACTTGTGTAGTTTTCAGGTGGCGTATGTCCTTGCAGAAGTATTTATACCAGACATTTATTTAGCTCACGAAACGATGAGAAGGCACGAACCGATGAGAATAAGGCATATCTCTTATTCATTATGAAAGATGCCCTACGACCGATTTAATTTTATTGATTTTCATTATAAACAATTTATTTTTTTGAAAAATTTGCAATAGATATTATAGGAACATTGATTTTTTTTCAAACACATCAAGTTCTTTCAACATTAAAACGGCAAATAATGATACAAAAATAGAAATTTCATGTATCCCGAAACAACCAATTTTCAATCACAACCTAAATTCAAACACATTCTTAATTCTGTGGCACTGATGTCATGTCTGACTAAATTGCATAAAGTCACATGTTGTATTAACTTCAAAACTTGCAGAAATGCCATACTTGATTAATTGTCAGTTGTTATCAGTAAAACAATAAGAAACTGTTTGTTTTAAGTGACACAATATAAATTGTCCAACTTCAACTATATCAAAATAGTCACTTGTTTAAAATAGTGGAAAATTTTTTCCAAGCAAGTTAATTTTTTTTTATAAAGTATTGGCTAAAGAGTTTTACCATTTACCTCAGTCCTAAGTGTATTTAAAACATTTATTTATATGATGTACCACTAAATATTCATCAGACTTTACATGGGGGTCCTTATTAATAAAATCTTTTATTGTTATCAATTTTTTCATGTGATGATTGTAGAATAATTGTTTTGTAGGCAATAGCAACTGGCAGATCTAAACAAGTTTCCGTATTTGCTAGTATTATAAAGTGGGGAAGGTAAAATGCTGTAAAGATTGGATGCATTTATCATTTTGCAACCCAAATAGCGTACTAAGAAGTGACACCTTTAACTGCCTTTTTATACACATTAACAGTAGTCATACTAATGCATTGTACTTTACATATGTTATAACATTTAGTGTAAGTTTTTTAAAATCTTGAAAAAACTGTTGAAAATCGTTGAATAGACTGTTGTGAAATTTTCTACAATTTTAAGTGGCCCTGATTTATCTTGAACAAATTTTCCATAATGATTACCCTGCTGTTTGAATTTAGGTTAAAATATTTCTGAGAGTGACCTGAGTGGGTCATATCGTTTTTATTGAATTTCTAAGAAAGATCAAGACTTGTTGAAAATGTACCAACCTTAAAATGAAAAAGTGTTGATAGATGCATTAATAGCTAAAATAAATTTGAAGTATAATTTCTCCTTCCATTTATTATTGGCTAAAAATGGCTTAACTGATTGAATATTGGTTGTCCCGGGATACTTCATTTGGTGTAATTTCCCAGAGCTAAATACGTAATGTACCGGAAAACGGTGTTTAGGTAGCTTTTCGAAAAGGTCAATTCTGGTCAGAAAGATAACTCTGATGCATAGATAACCTCGACACTAAATAAATATAATTGTTATAGATTCTAATTTTGTATTTTTCAGAATTCGTCAAGAACGCAGAGTTGCTGAAACACTGGGTGAAGTGTCCTGTTCCCAGGTTGGTGGTGACATATTTTTCGACATCATAACATAGTTCTCTTACTTAAGTATTTCTGTGTCAGTGAAGTTGTCATCACTGATCATCATGATGAGTTAACACAAATATCAGTCTAAATCGATACCCCTCCCATAATCAGCATAATAGTGACATTTCCCACCGATTCTTATTGGATATATTCCCAGCCAGCTAATTTCAATAGTTTCAATGAAACTAGACTTACAACTAATCTCGATGAAATATTTAAACTGAATATGAAATACCTATAGATCTATGCAAAATATTTCAGACCTAGCATTTCGTCTTATTTCGTCTTATTTCGTATTGATTGAAGTGAATGTAGAAGTCTAAGACTATCCGAATAATTCACTTCCGGATCGGTATGCCTAAAATACGAAAGTGAGATTTTTGACAAAAGTGAGCGAAAGTGGGCGAAAGTGACTTTTAAAATTTGAATTGTACCGTTTTAATAGAATTTCACAGTGAATTTTCTGTTTGTAGACGTATATTCTTAGCAACTAATAATATTTCTTTTCAAAAATAATCCCTATGATGATTTAATCGCCATTTATTTGCACAATTTCTATACACAAGTTCTGAGATCTTCCTTTCGCTCACTTTGAAAAATACGAAAGTGACATGTAAAATATTAAATATAGAGTTTAAATTGAAATTTATACTAAAATTGCAGTTTGCAGACGTATATCATCAGAAATATATAATATATATTTTCAATAATAATCAGTATGATGATTTAATCACCATTTGTTTGAATAATTTCTATGCACAAGTTCTGAGATCTTCCTTGCGCTCACATTGAAGAATACGAAAGTGACTTGTAAAATATGAATTGAAAGTTATACATAAATTGCATTTTTCAGGCGTATAATATCCAAAATTAATATTATTTATTTTCAAAATAATCATTATGATGATTTTACCCCATTTTTTCTACATAATTTATATATATACATATCAACAATCTTCCTTTCGCTCACAGTGAAAATACGAAAGTGACCTCTAAAATATCAAATATAAGGTTTAACTGAAATATAGTGTTGAATATCAAATTATTAATTTCTGAAAATATACGTTTACAAACTTCAGTTTAAGGACATTTTCAATTCAAACTCAATATTTGATATTTTACAAGTCACTTTCGTAGTTTTCAATGTAAGCGAAAGGAAGATCGCTGAACTTGTATATAGAAATTAGGCCAATAAATGGCGATTAAATCATGATTATGGTTATTTATTATAATATATATATAATAAGTTGCTAATAATATACGTCGAAAAACAGCAATTTTACTGTAAAATTCTATTAAAACGATACAATTCAAATTCTAAAAGTCACTTTCGCTCACTTTCGCTCACTTTCGTCAAAAATCTCACTTTCGTATTTTAGGCAAACCCCTTCCGGATCACTAAATGTGAAGGTTGAATAATACTAAAAATATTCCTTCTGTCCTGCTATTATCTGTCGAATTATAATTATCAGATTAGTAGATAAAATAACAATTTCACCACAACATGAATGTTCGCAAAGGAGTGTTATGATATCAAGATTAGATAACTCTTTACATGTTTAGCTGTATAGTTAATGGGATTACTTCCCTATACTTGATATTCATTAATGCTATGTTATATATATATGATCATGCCTCTCTGATACCTGGGCATTCTCACTTGAGCTCTGGTCTTAACAACATGTATTAAATGGTTATAATAAATAGTAGAATAGTTTGAATCTTGTTATCATCCATACAACATAACATGGTGTCAGAAGTAAACTAAAGGAATAATATTGCAATAAAAGCAATTTAATAAAAAAAAATATTTGGAATCGGATTTAACAAGCATTCTGGAAAGAAATTAAATTGTGCGCATCACAAACATTTAACTTTCTTCAGAGAAATCAATTAATTCTACAGCTCTACAATGGATTTAAATGGGTGTACCATACACAACAATGAACTGGGACAGTCAGAACCCTATGGAGGAGTTCAAAAAAGTTCAGGCAGCATGCAGAACTTATATTTAGCTGGCGCATTAAGAGAAAAAAGATGAAGAAGTGCAAGTTTACTTACTTATTACTTTGGATGGTGACAAGAGGCCGCCAGATATATAATACTCTTAAAATTAACTGAGCTCCAAAGGAAATCAATAAAGGCAATTTCGATGCAATTCAAAAACATCTACAACCAAAATCAAATCCTGTATTTAGCAGATACAAATTCCACAATGAAAAACAGGGGAAACAGTACGATAGAACAATTCATCACACGTCTTAAAAACATTAGCAAATGATTGCGCTTTGATTGCAGGGTACAGAGATGATGTAATACGAGATCAAATAGTAATTGGGAATTACGTCGGAAAAAGTTCGTGAAAAACTTATCACAGAAGGTGAAGCATTGACTCTCGAAAAAGCAGTCAGGATATCACAGTCACATGAATATGCACAGGCACAATTACGTGATATGACTAATTCCAATAGCATTGATGACATTCATCATAAACGACATTCCACGTCAAAACACCAAAACGAGACTGGAAAGAAACACAATCACCATTCAAGAGTTGGACAAAAACCAACATATAACAAAATGTGGAAATATGTGGACAGTCACATCACAGCAAAGATCGATGTCCGGCAGAGAGGAAACTTATGCAAGAACTGCCATAAATGAATCACTACTGCAGTTGTGTGTAGGTCAAACAAAAAAAGTGCATGAAATCGAAACCGGAAACAATAACAGTGACAGTAACAGTGACAGTGAATTTTGTTTATTGGTGCAGTTGATTCACATTCAAAAGGACAGGTATTTGTTATTTACAGGTGGGCTCTAAAGGTCATTTTAAACAGTTTAAACTTGACACAGGGGCATGCTGTAACATCCTTTCTGAGGCAGATTTCAAATCCCTCAAGGTCAATACCCCCTTAAAGAAGCCAACTGTCAAACTCACTGCTTACTCAGGCACTGAAATTAAGGTTCTAGGAGTAGTAGATCTCTCATGCAGCTACAAGAAGAAATGCACAAAAACTTGTAGAATTTTATTGTTGTGAGAACAAACAAACCCTCAATCCTAGGTTTACAATCATGCCTTGACTTTAATCTAATTCAGATTGTAATGTCCGTAGACCAGAAGGAGCAAATGAATAAAAATTCTGTCTTGCGTGACTTTCCTGAAGTTTTTCATGGCTTTGGAAAATTACCTGGTGCTTGTTCGATCAAAGTAGATCCCAAGTATTCCCCAGTAATTCATCCTCCCCGACGCGTTTCTGTAGCTCTTCAGAGCAAGGTTAAAATGGAACTTGATGCTATGGAAAAGGCTGGAATCATAGCCAAGGTCACCACATCAACAAATTGGGTGAATAGTATGGTCGTAGTCAACAAGCCACATTCTGATAAAGTTAGAATTGTAATTGACCCTAAAGACCTTAATAAGGCAATCCATAGGCCACATTATCCTACAAAAACCTTAGATGATATTTTGCCGCAGTTAAAGTCTGCAAAATATTTCACAAAACTTGACTGCAAATCAGGTTACTGGTCAGTTGTTTTAGATGATGAATCATCATATCTAACCACATTCAACACCCCTCAAGGTCGTTATAGGTATCTAAGATGTCCCATGGGACTGAAATGCAGCCAAGATCTTTTCCAGCAAAAGATGGATGAGTGCTTAGAAGGCTTACTTGGCTGTAGTGTCATTGTAGATGACATTCTTGTTTATGGTTCAACTCGAGAAGAGCATGACATAAACTTAAGAAACTTACTTGATAGGTGGCGCCTAAAGGGCATTAGGTTAAACGAAGACAAACTTGTTGTTTGCGTCTCGGAGGTTAAGTATTTTGGTCACATCCTCTCAGCTGATGGATTGAAACCAGACCCCGAAAAATGTAGGGCTATCCAAGAGATGGAAGCGCCTAAAGACAAGTCTGAGCTTAAGACAATACTTGGCATGATAACTTATCTATCTAGATATGCCCCAAACTTGTCCGAGATCATTCATCCACTCTCAGAAATATTAAAGAAAGATGTCATTTTTTCACTGGGATGCTCCTCAAGTTCGAGCATTTCAGAAAGTCAAAGACATACTTACTGAGTGTCCAGGCCCAGTGTTATCTTATTTTTGATCCAAATAAGGCACTAGTACTTCAGTCTGACAGTTCTCAGTATGGCTGTGCTTCTACTTTAATGCAAGATGGAAAACCTATAGCCTTTGCAAGCAAATCCTTGACCAACTCAGAAAGGTCATGGGCCATGATTGAGAAAGAACTTTTGCCATAGTATTTGGCATGACAAAGTTCAGACAATATATCTACGGTAGGCACATAACTGTAGAAAACGATCACTTACCCTTGATCAGCGTTGTTAAGAAATCCCTATACAGTGCCCCGGCAAGATTACAAAGGCTCTATTTAGCGTTACATGGTTATGATTTTGAGTTGCAGCACAAAGCAGGCACTCAAATACCCGTTGCTGACACATTGTCTCGGAAATATTTGCCAGATACTTATCCAGAAATTTCCGAAAATACCAATATGCATGTTCACTTCATAACAAAAAACTTGCCATACACAGATCAAAAACTTAGTGAAGTAAGGTCAAAAAACTGAGTCAGATCCAACACTCATTACCTTGAAACAAATCATTTCTTCAAGGCTGGCCTGAAAAACGCAAATATTGCAATTCTCAAGTTCTAGAATACTGGAATTATAGAGATGAACTCACTGTTGTAGATAATATCATCTACAAAGGTCAAAGATTGATTATTCCTAAGTGTCTAAGATCTGAAAATGTTAAATTTGCTACATAAAGGTCACCCAGGTCAGGAACGTAGCTTCCGCAGGGCACAAATTTCTATGTTTTGGCCTAACATTAGCAAAGACAGTAGTGCAGAAAGTGCAACAGTGTTCTGTATGTGCAGAGCATCAAAGGTCAAATTCAAAGGAACCCTTGGTTTCACATGAAATCCCTAAATACCCATGGCAGGTAATAGGTACTGATGTATTTACATTAGATAACCAAGACTACTTGTTAGTATGCGACTACATGAGCAACTATTTTGAAGTTGACATGATTAAAAATACAAAACAGTAGCACTATTATTAAGTTAATGAGAACTTGGTTTTCAAGACATGGTATTCCCCAGAAAAATAGTTTTCAGATGGTGCTAGTTTATACACATCACAAGAATTTAAAAGAATTCACAACTAAATGGGACATAAAGCATGTAAGGTCATCACCTCAATATCCCCTCAAAGTAATGGCCTTAGTGAATCATGCGTGAAGAAAGTAAAAACATT